AGACTATGGGAACTTCGATAGTACCTACCCAGAGATACAAGAGATCCACCTCTTACGGAGTTCAGCCTACCCACTGATCTAAGATCCTATTGCACCAGTTCAATGCACCGATTTTAGACAGATGAAACATCTGAATTGTACCATGAGGGTGTCCTGGTTTTAGCTGGGACAGAGTTAGCTCTTCTTTTTAGCAGCTAGAAGAGCTCCATGTTTTGATTTCACTCAGAGGCTCACTCTGAGAAGAATGTTGATAGCAAGCTGATGTTTGTGGTTGGAAGTGAAACTCCAAGGACTTTTCAGTGTGCCATGTCCTGGCCAGAGTGCAGAAGCACGGCGGGAAAAGGGGGAAGCATAGCCGGGACAAGGGGGCCCAACATTCCCCTTGTGATTTGTGGTGGAACTTAAGATTGAGGGCCAAACTGGCCAATTACTATTCCATATCATGCAGCGTCATGCCCAGTATAAAGGTGAGGGTCAGCCGGAAAGAAGGGCTTTTGCGCTTTGGCTCTTTCACTGCTTTTGCTCTTTTGCGCTTCTGCGCTTTTGCTCTATTGCCTTTTTTTCCCTCTCTCTCCCAGTACTCCCACTCTCGGAGTACTATCTCTCTCTCTCTCTCTCTCCCCCTCTCTATTTCGGGGCTTCACGTTTGTCCGGGATTTGCAGTTTTGGACGAGACAGGCTGCGGACAAGAGGGGGTGGTGAGCACCTACACTGTGTATTACTTATCTGTATTAAATTGTTCTTATCTCAACCTACGGGTTTCCCGTTTATCCTTTAATTCTTTCCCTCATCCCTAGGGCTGGGGGAGGGCGAGTGAGCAACTGTGTAGGGTTCAGTTGCCGGAGCGGCCTAACCCACGACAGAGGGTAATCTCGAAGTCATATACACACAACCACATTCATAGTCTACTACATTTTTCTTAACTGACAGACCTCCTGATCGGATGTCTGGTGCTGTCTTGGTCAGTCTGCTGGAGATACAGCTGAAGACCTATGGGATGGAATTTTTTACTGCAGGTAAATCATCATGGAGAAGTCATTGTCTCCCGAGTAGATAGATATAAGCACCCATTGATGTAAAAGAAAAAAAAACATTGCAGGAATTGGGAGATACAGTATTTCTGTTCTCTCTTTACTCTCAAAAGTTCTGATCAGAAAGAAAACACTGTAATGAGACTTATCCTTTCTTTACACAGACCTTTGTTCATGCTAGAAGGAGGCAATGTCAGGTAAACAGAGTCACCACCTTCTGAACGCTGTTCTGCTCCTAAGGCTTGTGCAGGGTAACAGAACATATAATTTCAGTGACGTTGACCCTCATTGGGGTATATTGCACTATATTAAAGAGCCTTATTTAAAAAAAAAAAAAAATAAAAGGCTTGTGCAGGGTAACAGAACATATAATTAAAAAAAGTTCATTAAACTATTTTAAAATCCTTATTTATCCAGCTTAGAACACTTTTTGTGTGTGTGTTTATCTTCTTGTTATACCACTGAATTCTTCCATTTTACAAAGCACCTTAATTTATCAAGGTGACTCTTGAGTGATGAAGGAGGGCTTTTTTTTAAAAGTGGTGCAGCCCAACAGACTAGAATACAAACAACCCTTAGAAGCACGGTGCTTGTAGGGAGGTGGGAATAAACTTTAGAGGAGACAGCATGTAAGTTTCTCTGTCTGAAGTTGCTCAAGTTTACCTCTCTCTCATGCCTCCACTCCTCCCCAGTTTTACTTGTTTTAATATTCTCTGACTATGAATGCACTTGTCAACATTTAAAGAGCTGTTATCTGTAATTATTGATGACAGCTGGAAGGTGTATTGAACTCCTCTGAAATAAACTAATTAAGAACAACTCCAGTGACTAGAAAGCATAAAATTCAGCACAGGCTTCTCTGAAGCCAATACTAACAGACAGAAAGCTTATATAACTTTCCCCATCCATTATTACTGCTCTCCTGCTTTAATCAGAGGACCCATAAATGACCGAAGAGGACATATGTCAGTGGAACTGCAATTTAGTTTTTGGAGGATGGACATAATTGCAAGCCAGCAGGAAGACTATAATGAAGGTAAGAAGGAAAAAGAGAAATAAACCAATATTGTGTCATGATTAAAAATCACATCAATTTACAGGACCAGGTTTAGCACTAACTCAATTATTCCAGAAGGACAAACAACTGAATTCTTACCTTCATCTGCTACAAGACTTTACACTGATGTCCAGACAGCATCTTATTTACATGTATACAGAATTAATCAAAACACTATGAAGCACACATTGCAATTGCTCTCCTCTACATTAAACAGAGTATACGCACCATTAAGAATTTTACTTCTCAGATGCTTGTAAAAGACTCCTTATTTGCTAGAGAACTCAGCAATATCACCAAAGCGCTACCTGATATGTTTGACAAACAAGTGGGGCTTTGTAATCCAAAGTAATGGTGCTTATTCCTAGCAAAGGAAAAACATTCTAAGCAGCAACGACCCTGAAAAAAAGAACTTGGTGAAAAATTCCCTTCCTGCTGCATGTCTCCAGGTCCTGTATGGAAATGGATGCAACACTATACTCGTATTGTTGCTGCTGAATGTCAAGAAAAGTCCCCAAAAACACTCCAAATGAAAGAGATATGTGCAGGTTTGAAACACAAGCCCCCAAAGAATGACATCATTCTAGACAAACGCAGGTGAGAATCATGCAAGACTGAAAAGAAACACCTACCAAACTGGCCAATATTCGCTTGCATGGATTCTCTTACTTGTTTCGATAATATCACTCTTAAAAGCTGGCAACCAAGAACAGAAGGTTTTTGTATACTAGGAAGAAAATAAAACCCAAAACCTCTGAATCACTTCAGATATATATTCAACATAGCAAAGTGACCTTGTACCTTCAACAGCAATGGATTAAGTCGCTAGTTAGTGTGAGCCAGCTAGAGCATTCTGATGGTAAATACATTGGGGCAGAGAGGAGACCAACATGCCAAAATCATTAATAACGGCTAATCAGGCCACGAAGCAGATGAAAGAATTGAACACTTGAATAACACTTGAACACAGATGAACACTTGAATTGTGCTCCTAGAAGAGTCTACAACAATACCAAGAGTTGCGCTTAATTAGCCTCAGTAAAGAGAGCAAAAGGAAGAGCCTTTTGCAGCAAAGCAGGGAGGGCTTTCTGTTGCACCCAACATTAACACCTATGACCAGGTCATGGTGCAGGAAGAAGATGAAGTCAGGCTAATGCCTAGGATGAGTATGTCAAACACTAGTGAAACTTTGGGGTGTATCTTCTGTGTTTTTAATTAAGGCCAGTACTGAGGATACAACTGAAGCATGTGGATTTTGTGCCCAACTGAAACTATGCAGGATAGAAATCATGACAAGAATATAGTCTAAAATTGATACTGGTTTTTGGGTTCTTCTTTCATCCTCACCCAACACATTTAGTAAACTGATGTTCTTTAGCTAACTGAACTCCAACCTGTTAAATCGCAATAGGTTTCAACAATACCAGCTTCTCTTTTCTGAATATTTTTGCTTCCAACAGGAAGGATAAAAAAAGCTTATTAGCAGTCTGTTCCCTCCTTGCAGAGCTGTGCTTTAAGGTTTCACTGTAGGGCTGAGGAAAAAAAATCACCTGTTGAGAATTTTCAAGACCATGTGACTTACAGTAAACACTATATTATTAAATGGATGTATTGATAATTGCTTTCATAGACTCAAAGTTAGTTCCTCACGGTTCCTTTTTCTTAATACACATATTTTTATGGCATTATATACAGATTTATAGACAGGACAGATCTATGTAGAAAACTTTTTTTTTTTGATGTAGCACATTCATGAATGCACATGGAAAGCTGCAATTCAAGGTTTCTCATACAATTTCTTAAGAGAAAGTCACAGAACACATCTTTATCTGCTGTACACAAAGTTGCTCGGTAAATAGAAGCTGGGCAGTGTGGGCAATGATTAGGTCCTACTTATATACGGAAATGACTGCTGAGAAAAAGGTAAACGTTAAGTGGTTAAAGGACGTTTCTTCAATTCTTTCCATTGGATGGCCTCTTCAAGGTGGTGAACATCACACTTGTTCTGTTTCTCATCTATTCACGATGTAATCCACTTGAGATACTTGTTGACACATTCCAGATTTGTATTTCTCTGCCTGAATCAGAGGAAGGCCTTCATGAGAATGGATCTACTTGAAGAGCAATTTGGTTACAGTGACTGCCTTTGGTGCAGTGTAACACCGCTCCAATGAAGATTTTTTCCCTAAAGAATTAATGCTTACCACTTTCCATGTAATTAATAAGAGTAACTTATACAAAAATGACTGTCATTTGGTGGAGCTGAAGCTCAAGAGTTTTTTCCTGTACAGAAGAAAGGCTATGATGACAAGATGTAAATAAATGGAACTGACTTCCTTCCATCTTCCAGTTGTTTTAATGGGATCATGAGAACTTAAGACAAAAAATGATGTTAATTTTAATAATAAACCAGCTAGATTCACAGAAATCAGACAGCTGAAGGCAATATAAATGAAGACTGACAGACACATAGAATGCGATATCAAAGAGCTGTATTGGTTTAATTTTCTTCAGAATTAATATAGAAATATATGCATCTTTGTAAGAACTACATACATTTTATTTAGATACAGGTATGCAATGGGAAAAGTATGATTCTTTACCATTGCTGAGAAACAAAAAAGGGACAATATTAACAGTTAGGTTCATTTAATAATTTTCTGTCTACAGCAATTAAAACAGCTTGCACATTAGCAGTAGAATCATAGAATGGTTTGGGTTGGAAGGGATCTTAAAGATCATCCAGTTCCAACCTCCCTGCCATGGGCAGGGACACCTTCCACTAGAAGTGGATCAGTAATGAATCAGTATATTGATGTTAAGTAACTTGCAAATGTTTCAGTCATTGGTTCTGAACTAATCGAGTTTCCATCTTCTAAGTTCTTCACTGCTGTTGTAGATGAACAAGTAGTTCAGAGTTTGGCATAATCTTTCAGGATCATTTCCAATTTCTGGCTCAGCATGATGTTCCCCTTCACTTTTATTTTACCAGAAAAGAATGCCTACAAAAAGCAGAGGAGAGGAAAAAAAAAAAAATTATACAACTGTTTACTCACCAAGAGCTGCTAGAATCAAAGACGAAGCCAAAGATAAATGCGGTTGTTTAGTGCTCAGGAGAAAGCTTTCAAAGCGCAATGCCCATTAGTTATTGGTTATTAACAGAAAATCATGCAAGTTCAATTTTAATATAAAACTCTTATTCTGGATGCCATCTATCTAGTGTGCAGGCAAAGCCAAGTCTATCACTCAGGGGAAAAAAATAAATACAAAGCAACTTCAGTGGCCTCCCTTTCTTTTCTACATATAGCACAGAGGACCTCTCCTGGTATAAGACAAAACTTCTTCACAGAAGCTGATGGTAAAATTTCATCAAGGCAAAAAAATAAAGTTTCCAGTCCTCCCCTCCCTATGCTACAGATATCCATATGTCCTTATGTGAAATGAGAAAATGGAATGAAAAAGCCATTTAATGAAAATTAAAGGTCTAATGAAAAGGTCAGCTATTCACTCAAATTCCTAACAAATCCAAACAGGAACTTGTACAATATATGTGCACACATTTTCCAAAGAAATGCACTGGCTTTACACATAGCATATTACAACAAACAAGAACTAAACAAGATTTCGTTGCACTTGCAGAATCATAGATCAACCAATATTTTCACTGAAATGCTGGTATATTACATTTTTATTGTCCCTACTTCAAAGGGCTGTATACCCTGCTTCAATCTAGTTCAGTATTTTTTAAACCCAGTTTTGCTTCGCTGTGGCTTTGCAGTTTGAAAGCTCTTTGAAAATTCTGAAACAATGTGCTTTTGCACAGTTCCATTACCTTGAAATACATTCAAATAAGGAAAAGAGAGAAAGCCAGCAGAAAAGAAGTTTAATACATGCTTTGAGCTTCTTTAGATGAAAAAATTCACAGAAACTCAAAGGAAATACTAATGCCTAAGAACAGATAATGCTCCTGAATTGCAATCACTGTTCTTTAGCATTCTGAAGATTACACATCAACACCTTGTTTGTTTATGCTTTATGCCTGCTATATACAAAGGGTCACAAAGGATTTTACTCATGTGGCATGCAGGACTTAGAACAAACATTTGCATCATCGTTAGTCTCCAATTTTACAATCAAAGTCTCCAACAACTTCTGCTTGGGATCAAAGAAAATGAACTGTTTGATATATGATGAGCTTAATTAAAGTTTTCATTTGCTCAAGCTTTAATCTGTAAGCTGACATATTAAATTTGTGATAGTTTAATTTACTTTTACAGAAGGCATTTTTATTAGTAAAATTAGTAGTTTTAAGCAGCTGATTACTCCAAGAAGCTAAAAGTGCAGACCTGGATTACGTATCTTTCTTAAATATTTCTTTTCCTTTAAGAATCTACCTAGTTTGGGTGAATTTTTACCAGTTTCAATGGATCTACATGCATGCATTGTCCGAGATTTCTCTCTGCTGCAGCAGTAGCAGTAGATCAGAACATTGCAACAAATACCAACCTTCTGCCACATGACCAATCAAAACAGCCTGAATGATCAAACTGACAAACTCTAACCTTGCAAATCATATATTGTGAAGTGCAAGGAAAAAACCGAACAACTAACTTTGTACTGCCAGACTTTATGTCATTTGAGGTATCTTTGTCTCGAGATGGCAAAGATGGCATAAATACCTCATCATGTCTTCTGACTAATTCAGTATAAGGTAATGATGCACTCATACCTCATCTGATTCTAGTTTGCGCTGTCAAAACAGCCAGTGTTGCAGATTTCGGAATGCAGAGTCATGAACCAGAGCTTGATTTAAGGCAAATAATATGTCCCCATGCAAGTGAGTATGTGACGCAGAGGTTTTTACCTTTTGGGGGTTGGTCTTTTGTTGTACCACATCCATGAAATCCTCGTCTGACAGAGTGAAGGTGGCATCAGCAGTACTTCTTGCAGGTCCTGGATACACTTCTCCAGAGCCATTTTTTAAGTCAATTGCTGAGAAGAAGCAGCAAACATAGTTTTATCTCAAAATAAAGATAAAATTTTCGGTCTAAAGAACACTACTCTCCTTATCTATCATTATGGAGCATCCAGTATGAACATAAATCCTGAGCTAACAGCCACTTAGAAAATGAAAGTATTTTAATTCTTCTTCTTTAATGAAAGAAAATAATTTAGATGAGAAGAGAAAAAAAATTTATTCCTGTACTAAGGGGGATGCGGCTTACAGCAAGGACTGCAATTGGAAAATTCTTTCATAGATGGCAGGAACCATTTTTAAACAACACTTAAGATTCACAAGATATTAATTAATGCAATTACTGCAAAAATGTTAAAGTTAGTAATAAAGCCCTAGTGCTTTAAAACTGCATCCTATATTTATATAAGCCAAATGTGGTGGTGTTCAAACATGCTGCTGCATTTTCCCTATTCTGCCCTATAGGCAATATAGCCTGTTCTGCTTCATGCAAATAACATTTAAAGCCTTGCCAAATATCTGTCTTTCTCTTCCGGAAAGCCAAAAATTCCTCAAAGTGTCTGAAGCTTCAGAGTGTTCTGTCCTCACATTAAATGACCTGCCAAAATAATCTATTACAAGGCTAACACTAACAGGTATTGTGTCCTTTGTTTAGAAGAATATTTTGACAGGATGTGCTCTGCCAAATCATTCTCAGGTTTTGCAAATTCCCAGTCTTCCCCTTTATACCTTTTCCTCTTGGTCTCCCCCTGCTTTTTCAGCACAAAACCAAACCATTATTCAAGTGGATGTTCCCATAAGGACA